CCATTCGAAATCAGCTGTACTGTGTGAACGAAATAAAGACAATAACACGAACCCCTCTCTGGCTGCACGGTCGCTTATGGCAGTTCCACACAGTAGTTGGCGCCCAACGGGGGGTCCCTGAGACTTGCATGTAAAACTAGTCTAGATGTCTTCTTTTTTGTAAGTTTTATTTTTGTAATTGTGCATGTAAAGCATCATTGAATCAATGGATCTGTTGAAGAACTCAGCTGCTGGAAACCATGCAAAATGTTTTGAATTGCCCTTAAAATATGGAAAATGTTTTCTGAATGCTTTATATTCTTTCTGCTGTAAATTAAAAATGAAGAAAATTTCCCCATACTATGTCTGTGTTTTGCTTTAACCTAACTTGATATTGAAATCCGAGGTAATAATAAGCATGTGTTTGGAACCATGAAAGAATTTCAAGTATTTTCCTCCAAACCAGATAGTGTTTTGACCTTGAATGTTAACGTTTTAAGTGTTCGTGAAACCAAAAGATTGCTTAGAACCACTATTCCTAGAGCACTTGCTTTTCTTACCTATCTTCCCAGACATCTCTCAACATATCAGTCATTTGTCTAAGTGCAGCTACTTTAAAGATACAGATGTCACTCTAAATTTACCTTTTCAGTTAAAATTCTCTGAATTAAAAAAAAAATTATTTATTACATGAGTATGAGAGACAGAAATACCATGCTCCTTTCAGGGTTTTGACAGAGGATCATACCCAGCTTCTTGCTACCCAGATAGCAAACATTCTCATGCCCAGTGTACAAAGGGTTGTCTCTGGATGTAAACCAGTAACTTTTCCATGTGAGTTTACTGCTGTACCACCATTTGGCCCCTCTTATTTATTTATTATTTTGCCATCTTAATAAGGTTTTTGTTACAGGGTACATGCGCTCACCAGAGAGAAAAAGTGAAAAATCAACTCGGGGAGGGAGATGGTCATGCCATTACCCCTTCTCCTTATTCTCCTCTCGGGATTTTGTGCATGCACACATGTGCGCCTGGCATGATTTTCAAGCCAGCAGGTCCAGGGAATCACACCATAGTCAGCTGTGTGGGAGCACAGCCACCCACCTGACTTTTTAAAGAAAGACATTTTCCTGTTATAGGACTATTAGTCATCTTTCCTGAGTGTTCTACCATTATGCTCCATTCCCTTTTCCCCAAAGCCTCTTTGTCTCCCTAGTAGTCTCCATCTCAGTGCTACTTAATACCAGCCAAGTTTTGCTTCAAGTATTTTCCAACTCTGAATCCTCAGTGGTTTCTAGAACACACTGCACTTAAATGGCATTTGTCTTATCTTCACTCTTTATCCAGTCTTCACTGAAGCTCAGCCAGCACCCTCTGGTTGGTCGGTGCACACGTCTTTGCCCACGGTACTTATTCATCTCTTACCTGGAAAATTCTTTTTTAGCTAGTTTCCCTGACACAAATCCCACCTCCTCTGACACTCTTGTTTATTCTAATATACACTAACATTTCCCTTTTCAAATTATGCTTTCAATATTGAGAGTTGGAAAAGACAGTGTTTATTTTTCACTTTTCATCCGAAAGATCTGCCAGCTGACCTATTAGTGTGCTGTTAGTTTTTTAATGTAAGAGATAAGGTTGGTAAGACTATTCCAGTAATAAGACAAAAATATCACAAAATTACAGTACATTCCTATGCGTGCCTTCCTCTATTTCACTGAAAGTTGAGGCCTGGGAATGCAGAAATGAAGAAACTACAGTCCCTAACGCCAAGGCTCCCATAAACAGATGATAACGTGGGTCTGTGCAATGACGCATAGTCGTGTCTCAAATGAAAACATGGAGCGGGAGCATGACAGGCCTGAGCCTGTCATGGACTTCCTAATTTGTTTTAACAACTTTCGTGGAAAAACGTGGTGTCCCTAGGCTGTCCAGCAGAAGCACATAAGCTGTCTTTAATACTGTCACCGCCAGAATAGTCCATAGACTCAGAACAACGTGAAATGCCCCCACCCTCACTGACCCAGTCCTGGGAGCCCAACGCACCACCGGGCGGAGCTCGCCTGCGGCCCACACCTCACGGGCCAGCTTCGGCAGCCGCGCAACAGGGAGCTGACGCCATGGGCCTACACGCCCCGCTTCAGAGCCGGGTCCACAAGCGCCGGAGCCAACCACCCGAGCCCTCGGGACGTCCAGGGCCTCGGTGGCCTCTTTGCCCAGCAAGCACCCGCCGCTTCGGGTCCGTCCCCCCCGGCGACGTCATCGTGCCCTCTTTGCGTCGCCCCGCCCCGCCCCGCCCATCTCCAGTCCTCGGGTCTCTGCTGC